ATTTTAAGTTGAGGTGCCATTTGTTTTTATATTAGACTTTTTTATATTGACTGTTGCACTAAAGCCCAAAAGTGAAGATTTTATGTTATTTATTACTTGATTGTTCAAGCTACCTCACAGAAGTGCTCTGTTTGCTAACAGAGTTGTTGAATGTTAAAATAAGGTGAATTAAATAAAAAATAAGGAACATCCTGGATATGTTTTTTCGCTCTTCTTTATTCTTTTTTTTATGTATTATAGAAGTATCGGATCGGGATTCGGTATCGGCAGATACTCAAAATCAAATGACTCGGACTCGGACTCGAGGGCAAAAAAACCTGATCGGGACATCCCTAATAACAAATTTTGTATCACAGTATAAGGTTATAGAGCAATATAAGGTCACAGCTTTGTTTGGATTCAGAAATGCTGGGGGTCTTTAATGACGGTGACTGTCCATGCAAGGCACCAGCGATGCCGTCACTGCTGGGCAACTGGCCATGTGTCACTTTGTGAAAATGTATCCACATATACAGTGTACGTAAGCATCTTGCACAGTACAGAGTCATGCCAACATCACAAGGACATATCTTACTCTTAAAGTGCTTAAACATCTCTTTCTCAGATAACCGGCAGGTTGGTGGTGTAGATTTTTATCTTAAGTATCTCATCCAAAGAAGTAATATTTTCCGTTTTTCATATATATATACTGTATATATATATAATATATATTTTTTTACAATAAAAGTTACATTATTCAAATAAAGTGCATCTAGTGACGTCTGTGGTATGATAAAATCATCTGTGAGACAATGGCATAATACAAATATTTGGATACAATATTGATGGATTAGATTGTAATAAAAACTAAATTAGCTGTAAACATTTTTATCTCCGTTTCGAGGTACACTGAATATTGTACATAATATCAGGAAATAATGATTTTTCTGTTTGTAGTAAGGAAGGAAATTCAGGGTTACATGTTGTAATCTCTACATAACTTCCTTTATTAGTGTGTTTTCGCACCACCACGGGTGTCATAAAAAGGTCTGTCCAGGTGGCTGGTGAACTGTAAATATGCTTTGGGTGAAGTGGCATATAAAAATGCAGCAAATAAAAGTCCTTCGTATAGTCTCTTTGAAACATCACTCGGGCAAGCTGATCAACAGATTCTCTATGTGAAAAGTCATTCGAAATGTATAAAGTGCAAAAAGCCACAGGTTCCGACTGATGTGTGACCCGCTGCTCCGCTGGCCAGGAGGGTATTTATTTTTTCGGTTCACATTCTTTCCATCCAAAACACTCCTTCCCTGCAGAGGAGGGCAGAAGAGGTGCTCGTGTCCTGCTGTACTGTCGCCGGACACTGGAACTGCATTGATCTTTCACATCAACGTTCTGGGATTAAAAGTCCCTCAGAATCGGTGCTGAACAATGGATATTTATTTTCTGTCCTCAAGAGTTCTACTATTGATATTAGTGATGTGTAAACAAATATATTTTGAAAATCGTTCAAATGCATATTGTGAAAATCAGTGGGTTGGCTGAACAGAATATATTCTGGAAGTCCTGTATTATTAGGCTGATTTCAGGTTTACCCAACTCCTATTGGCTATTTGTTCCATTATCCTAATTAAGTACTACAAAATCACTTTAAGATATTCCTTAAATTATGTTTTTATAACCAACAGTATCTTTTAAATTCAACCTAGGCTGACTGGAGAAACGTGCCACTACCTATACACTTTTGCAAATCTCCAAAAGCTTATAATTATACATATCACTGCAGTTTCCAGCTTAAACGAAACAAAAAGTGGCAGTAAAACACAACTTTTATTATATTTTTCATACAATTTTTTGATTACTGGGGCAGATTCGTGCGGTTCCATTGACCTCAAGACACTTTTACCATAGCGCATGATTTGAAAGCGAATACATTTTGACGTTTGTTTCACATTATTAGCTTCATGGCTTTTCTGACATAGTAAACTTGCTCTGTAGCTCCCCTGATACAGACTGCACTAACTAGTATGCTAACAGCATTCTAATGACAGCAAAGCTACAAAAAATATCAAAACAAAACAAACCATTTAAATTCTAAAAAAAGCCAACCAATTGACTAATTGGTTATAGGACAACTATTTAATCAGGTGACCATCTTGAATCAACTGATATACATCATGGCTAAGTGTTAGCTAGAAATGCTATCATTAGCAACAGAAGTTCATTGTCAATAATAGAATTCTAATTTTCTCCTCAGTTTATATTTATTTCAAGTTAGTTCCTTTGAGTTTGTTCGGAATAGTCAAAGTACATGCTGCATTTTGAAAAGCTTTAAAAACGTTTAAATGATCCATAGATTTATTTTTGTGGGTGAGTCACCTGCTATAAAAGCTTCCTATCTTTAAATCAATAGATCTGGTCAACATGGAAACAAAACTAGCCTGTTGGCAATAAGGATGTAACCAAATATTCAAGATATCGATTGACCATATCCGGTTGGGGGGGGGGGGGGTCTTTCTCAATCGCTATGGTGGTTACGCTTCTGTTTGATAATGCAGCACCAACTTCCACTAGACTAATGGATCAGGTTAGCTCCGTGTACTAAGCTGATACCCCAGACCGCAGATAGTAAACAGTTCCTTGTTTACAGAGTCCCCTGCATTGACAATAAGGTGCTGGCAGGCTGATTGCTGAACTGATGATTAGATTACTGGCAAGTGTACACAGAAACCTGATCTATAGCAGACGCATGAAACAGACCTGACCATGGATGTGTCTGATAAGAGGAACCGCAGCATACATGACAATGAATGGAAACATTACATGAGTTTTTGTGGATACTAAAATGGGGTTGGGATTTTAATATGATTTACAGTCCATTACATACAGAACTGAGTTGCATCTATAAGGTGCAAAAGAAGTACACTTTAAGTACTTTTTTTTTTTTACAGAAATAAAATACCTTTTTAGAAGTGAATGTAATGTGCTCAGGATATTTCATTGCATGTTAATTCCAATTAAATGAAAATGTTTAAATTTATATTTATTTAGCTGAACTTGAGAGTTTTTTCGTGACCCACTTAAGTAGGACTTAAGTATGTATTTATGTAATTTCAAAAAATATGAAATATGGTTAAAGTACAATTTAGTGCATTTAAAATATATTTTAGTCCCCCGGAAGTCAATAATTGTATCCCTTAAAACTCATCGTTGATCACCAAAATTACATATTTAAATATTTTTTCCTTGCCTTAAAACAGCTTGAATGTAACTCTACACACTTGCCTCATTTAGTATACGCGGTTCTATGAATATGCAAATTAGCCCCGCCTCCACTCACTCACACCAGCTCAGAGATCCACTCGTTGACGATCACACAAAGTGCTCTTTTATATGTGTAGGCCTACTTAAGTGTGTTAAGAAATGGTCATAAAAGTGTACTCTTTTTAAGTAAACTTAAGTGTCATTTTATTTAATTAATATTATGTTATCTGCAAGTACAGCACTACAAACATTCAGAACAATTAGGCGCAAGTGGAACTTTGATTTAAAAAGACAAAAGGACAATATTTAATATTTTATTTAAAAATGTGGGTTATTGAACATGAACTTTTAAGTTAAAAATGTAGCCTATGTATGTAAGTGTGTCTATACAAATATATGTTTTAAAAATGTATAGGAGATGTCCCCATTTATTTATTTATTTTATTTCCTTTCAGCTGTGGTGCAATATATTTAGTTGTATTTAACGTGGTACACATTTTGAATGAGGTCATAAATAAGCAACTGTAATATACAAGAAATAAAAATAAATGTTTAATGTCATTTTTTGATGAAGTACAGCAGGTCACACTGTAGGACAGTGCTGTCACTGCTCGACATGTCATGTCAACTACCCATTCCCTATATTGCTGAGACACCGAGACAGAGAAATGAAGGCTTGTCACTGAACACGATCTGCTGCTCTTTGGATGAATTAAAAAACATCGCTGTTCTGTGTCTGATTCTTCGAAAGCTGTCCAGTCAGTGTCACACACACACTACACTGCCAAGCTAAACCAAAGCCTGCACAGATGTCTCGACGCCTCCGGGAAATCTAGGACTTTTTCTGAAGGCTGTGTACACAAACTATCCAGGTCTCTGCTGGAAGATCCAGTTTAAGCTGGTTGCAGTGTTTGGAACATAGAAGTTGGCTTCTAGCTGGTATAAGCTGGTTGTTAGCTGCTTGACCAGCAACCTAAAAATCAGTGTTAAGCTAGTATGGTAGATGATTTGTTTCAGGTTCACAATGATAGCTTTGAACAGGTAATGCTTAGACCAGCTCATACCAGCTAATGTCTTGACTGGACCAGTTAATTGCCAGGATACACCAGCTAATGACCAATTAAGAGCGACTAACGGACAGTTTCAATTGCTTATAACCATCTGAGCTGGAAGTTCACAATGTCACACACAACAACACTGTAAAAAATGATATGATCAATAATTTATGACAACATTTGTTTTTACATTGATTTAACTCGTTGTTGTTTTATAAGTTATACAATATTCCACTCATTTTTTAAAAGTCAGTTTAGGTTAATGTAATTTAAGTTGAAATGACTTAAACATCCAAGTCGATTGTAGGCAACTTACAAATTTAAGGCAGCTTAAAAAAAAATTGTACAAGCTTAAACCTGATTTTTCACCACGGTGTTATTTTAAATAGGCTACTCCCAATATGATTTACAAGGCTGTGAAATTAATACATGCTGGTTTAATACGGCGAACAATATAAAATATGTGCTGCATTTTTATTATTATAGGCTACATTAAATGTATAGCCTACAATTAGCCTATTTTAATACGCTCACGGATCCCGCAGATGAAACATCAGCGTACAACATGGGCGACCTACTCATTTATGATTTATAATGTTCATAACGCATATTATATGAGGAACCTGACCAGAATGACAGCTATGAAAAAAGTTTGACGAAAAAAATAAGTTGATGGGGACGATATTTGAACGTCTGACATACCTATAGTGGTGATGACCGTGATGGCGAAGTAAAAGGAGCCGGCGAACCTCCACTGGACCCCAGCCTTGTGTGGCTTCAGCTGCAGCACGACCCGCTCCAGCTCGTCAAAATTGACTTTGCTCAAGTTGTACTTGTCCATGAGCTCTCGCTTCCGATCGTCCAGGACCTTCTTTTGGGTGATCTCCATCTTGGATTCTAACGCGTCAAAAACAGCCGCTCCGACGAGCAAATAAGTGAAAGTGCAGATGATCAACACGAGGGTTCTGATGTTTTGTCTCTTCATGGTCAGAGCGAATGAAACGAGCCACAAACTTTGAGGAGTGATGGTGATGGTGATGGTGATTTCATTGCGACTGAGCTGTTCCTTCAGCACCACGGGTGCACATGTGCCTGTTGAGTCAACACATCTCAGCCTGGGTTCATCTTCAGAACCTCCCAGTGGTGCGAAACAGACAGTTCATTTACACAGAGGTTTGAAAAAATGGAGGATTTCTGTTGTGGATTTTTTATTCATATTCTTATTTTATACTATAATACTAAAAAAAAGTATTATTTAAAATGTATTGTATAGGGTACATTGTCGAGTGTTTCGCAATAAACATCAGGTAAAGTGGGACAATAGCCTACCATTCATTAAATTTGCATGACATCATCATAGTGGAGACTGTGATCAAGCTTCAACAACTAATGGATGAGAAATCAGCCAGCACAAACATAAGCCTCTTTCAAAAATTCAATTCAATGATCAGTTACAAAAAATTTATTTACGGGATCTTTTTTTGTGGACTAACTCCAGTGAGACAGTATAGCTTTCAGGTTAAGCTTTTAAAACTCTTCTGAATGATTATTATAACAAACATTCCTTCGGTTTCACAGACAAGGCTTAAGTCTAGTCCCAGACTAAAATGCATGTTTGAGCTGTTTTAACTGGAAGCAAATAAGCATATCTTAAAATATTAAGATGCTCATCAGTCACATTTATAAAAGCTACTTAAATGCCTTAATTAAACTAAGGCCTAACCCTGGCTTAATCTAAGCCCTGTCTGTGAAACCGGCCTTAGAGTCTGGATATTTCCTGATATCTTGAATGTAGATGTGCTATATGAGGTTAAACTGACAGTAATGGTTTCTAGCTGACATGCTGGTCATGAACTGGTCATGAACTGGTCCAAGCTGATCTAGATAATGGATTAGTATACCGGGTTATGGGGCTGAAATCAAGCTGGTAGATCTTGATCTATAGCTGGTTAAAGCAGTGCCAAACAACAGCAACAGCATGACCAACTTAAGTTGATGAGATATGCATTTCAGGGCCACAGACAATATTATATAATTATTATAATTATGCATAAAAGAAACTCTTATAGTATTTCATATAGCATACATTTAACATCAGCGTCCCATATAACGATCTGTCCCACTTTAGGCAGTTATGCTCAATTAGCACATGGAAATTGCATTAAATAGTCTAATCTACCAAAAAATGACTTAATTTTGCACACAACACCCTATCATTTTAAAAATGACAACGCTTCCACAGAAAATGATATTGATTAATAATTGAGCTTAATGTAATGACCTCTCTTTGTGTTGTTCGTTCTAATTAGATTCCCTCCGGTTCCTGAGGGATGCGGTGAGTGAGACTAAATGAATTAGGAATGTGATACTGTCAGCTCGGATAATCTGCCCAGATTCGGACAACAGATATTACATAATAATGAGCTGCACATTACCGCCATATTCATCTGGATGGAAATACAGAGGCTAATCAAACTACAGAGGCTAGGTAAAAACAGGTCTTTTATTCATCATTTTTTTGGTGTATGTTTATGTTATATGCCAAAACCATTTCTCATAGTTTGATCATTTAGTCTAAAGACAGAAAGTTAAAGTCCCCCTGTGGTGAAAATCAAGCTTTTAATGTTGTTTATGTGTATATGTGGTGTTTTTTAATATGCTTTAAAGGAGCTGTATGTAAGAAATTTATTTCAATTAATCATAAAATGGCCCTGAAATGTCACTAGACATTAAGAAATCATGTACATTTCAAATACTTATATCACTGACAACAGTAGTCTGGCCAGGATATTGTCATTTAAAAAGTGCAGTTGCAGCCCTCAACTGATGTTGATGTTGTCATGTTGTGTTTTGGTCTGATGCTCCACCCTCCACCTGTCTACCAATCACGAATCGCAATTTCCATTGAACTCTGTTGGTAACGACGGAACTTGCGACCATAGTTGGCTAACGATGCTTTCGGGAAACGCACCCCAGGTCAACCTGTGATCGTCAACGAGTGGATCTCTGAGCTGGTGTGAGTGAGTGGAGGCGGGGCTCATTTGCATATTCATAGAGCCGCGTATACTAAATGAGGCAAGGGTGTAGAGTTACATTCAAGCTATTTTAAGGCATTCATATTTTTTTAAAGGGAGAACAAAAACTTTATGTAATAACTTTAGAATATGTCATTTTGGTGATCAAAGAGGAGTTTTAAGGGATACAATTATTGACTCCTGTGGGACTTTAAATGTAGGTAAAAGATGACTGAATGTGTCCAAGTCCTTCCACTCTTACAGTATGATGATGTTATCAGGGGAATGATTAAGGGTGCATGCAGCGACTGTCCATAAGAGGGCGAACTTGCGCAACATATCCATAACATCCAATAAAGTAGTTCCAAAGCCTGTTTTACGCATATTGAGGTCATCACATTCACAACATGATGCATCAATTCATGTGGAATGTCAGAATGCGTTCAGTGATTTATGGACAAATAAGGACTTGACACTTTGCAGCATATTTTACTGATCCTGACTGCAGCTCTTTTTTTTTTTGGTCATTCATATTACGGCTATTAATGCAAACACATTTCAGCTTTCAGCTTAGGGTGAATCTAGCTCACTCTGTAAGAAGACAACAATGGCACTTTCAATTTCTGTTTGACTTATCCGAACAAGTGTTTTCCCCTCCCTAAAGCAAAACACCGCTGGCCTTATTTACCTCAGTCATATGTTCCTTTACCTAAATGGTCAGTTAATGAGAAGAACTTTTACTAAATTACAAAACCATTTTAGTGCAAACCGCATTCGCCCCAGTTTAAATTCCACATGAAGCAGCGGGCATGTGCTGCTCAAGTTACCTTTGGTAGACTGCAGCTGGGCGGTCCTCTGACTACATGAGCTAGAAAGTCACTAGAGAACAAAGTTTGAAATGAGTGTCTGCAAAACAAACCTGTGCAACACACACTGACTGAGCGCGCGATCAATAATGGATTCAGCCAAGCGGGATGAACACATGAGCGAGCACGCCGCCAACCTCCTGGGGACAGGACAGCGGGCCAAACCGACACAAAACGACACAAAAACAAGGTCAAGATGCGTGAAAATCCTCTTTGCGGTAAGAGAAGTCTCATGGGACAGTATGGGGGGAATAAAAGCCGGTGTATAGGTTAAACAAACAACTCATAACTGACGGAGTGCTACTCATTTAACCCTTAATTAAGCTTAATATTTTGTGTAAAGGTTTTCTTTTGTTATTTTCTGTCTTTAGCCTATTTGAAGTAAATTTACATAGGCTACACTCTTAAAAATAAAAGTTTTTTTTTTTTTTATTGGCATCTGGTTCAGTGTTGCACCTTTATAATCCATGGATCCAATATTGCACAAAAGGTTCGATAATATAGTGGAAAAATCTTCTTTAGATTATTAAAATGTGATTTAGTGATTAGAAAAATGTGTGTTCTTTTAAGAACTGTTCACTGAGAGGTTCTTTTGAGAACCAAAAAATGTCTCTTCTACAAAAACAAACAAAAACAACCCTTTGGAACTTTTATTTTAAAGAGCATCTTCCCACAAGACCATAATATAGTATAGTATATGGGTAATTAACTTAAGTTAGATAATGAGGCACCTAAGTTGTCATTCACCAAAAAAGAAAAGGTGTAGCTATTTTCTTAATGTATTTGTACTTTTTAGGAAAACTATATTGTACGTAAATGTTTGTGTCGTTTCATCTTTGTTTTTGTAAAGTATCTTTAATCATTTGTGCTGTTAGATATAGGATGTTTTAGGTAGCTGAGATTTAGCTCATCATTCATCATCATTTTTTCAGGGTTCCCACGGTCAGTGAAAGCATGGAAAGATGGGGGAGTCACGGAAATGAATACAATCTAAAGTCATAGACATTTCTATTGTACAGCAAAAACAAGTATCAACTGGCTGCACCAGAGTTTCGGAGAAATGTTACAATCATTAAGTATAGAAGCCAGTGTACCTCACTGTGTAATATAGCGTTACAGCATGCCTTTGAGTTGAGCTAGTGGACTTTTCACAAGGTTATTCATCCCTATGAGGCTGCAAGTTGCAACAATATTTTAATTTGATATTTCTAAACAATTCTCACTCCAAATAATCAGTTTATCAGATAAATTCCAACATGCGTTAAATGTGTGGCTGGTGTGTTGATCTTGGCAGCTTTCAGTTAAACTTTAAACGTTGAACTAGTCTATTGACTCAAATGCTTCCTTGTCAATAACTATGCCTTTTGTTGGATGAACCATTACTGTAAGAAGACTAAACGAATTGACCGAAAATACCTGATTTTTGTTTAATGTGGCATTCTAAATGTAACAAAGCTGCTTAAGCCTCAGGCATCATGTTTTAATTCTGATCTCGTATCTATTTAAATTGAACAATTCACTTTAAACCATAGAATGAATGAAAAGTGTGTGCAAGTTCAGGGAATTCTTGCTCCCTTTTGTTCACTACACAGCAGTCACAACAGTTTGAGACATTCAGCACTGTAACACTGTGGAAGATGAGGAGGGGGAATGTACACACAAAGAACTGGAAAGACCCTGCTGCTGTTTTATTGTAGCCAACTGGGGAAAAATCATTTCCTGAGACTTGCATTCACTGTATTATGTGAAACTGTTGTTTGGAATTTCATTTATTCACTAAAGATATAAATTTGTTATTTTACAATTTGATTTTTCAATGGTCTTGAAGTCAAGGCTTACAGTTTTTACAGTAACTTTTAAAAGTTTGGGGTTCGAGGATTTTTAAGAAAAATAAATTAAAACTAAGCAGCACATGTTTTCAATACTGATAATAAGAAGAAATGTTTCTTATTATGTGTCATCATCATATTAGAATTATTTCTGGAGTCATGATGCTGAAAATTCAGCTTTGCCATAACAGGAATACATTACATTTTAAAAGAGACAATTTATCGTTAATTAAATTAATATTTCCCGATATATATTTTAATTTACTGTAATTTTGATCAAATAAAAAATACAAAATATATTACCAACCCCAAACTTTGAACTAAACTAGGAATTTAATTCATGACCTTGTTGTTAATGCAAGTAGACAATTTCTGCTGGTAAAGTTTGATGTGTTTTATGTTAATTTGTTGTCAAGATATATATTCCTAACCGTTACCCATTACATTTTCTTACAATCCATGCAAATTATATTAATGCAATTATAATAATGATTCATTCTTTACTAAATCTTGTAACTGCATTTGTTTTTGTTTCTTTAGGTTCTTCTGCTCGCCTTGCTGGCTTTAATTCTCACAATCATATTTATACTGAAACTCCGCTGCAGTGATAAAGGTACAATATCAGTTTCTACTGTTTTTCTGGTCATAATTGAATCTAGGCCAGCCTTTGACTGAAATAGTTTTAATTAAAGATCCCCCTTTATAAGCTTTTTATAAGCTATTACATACACTCACTGTCCACTTTAATAGGTACACCTTGCTAGTACCGGATTGTGCAATGTGCTGAAAACATTCCTCAGAGATGTTGGTTCATATTTACATGATCGCATCACACTGTTGCTGCAGATTTATTGACTGCACATCCATGATGTGAATCTCCGGTTCCAGCACATTCCAAAGCTGCTCTATTGGACAGAGATCTGGAGACTGTGGAGACTGTTTGAGAATAGTGAACTAACTGTTACTGTGGAGGCCATTTGAGTTTAGTGAACTCATTGTCATGTTCAGGAAACCAGTTTGAGATGATTTGAGCTTGGTGACGTGTGTTATCCTGCTGGAAGTAGCGATCGGATGATGGGTTCACTGTGGTCATAAAGGATGGATATGGTCAGCAACAATACTCAGGTAGACTGTGGTGTTTAAATGATGATCAACTGGTACTAAGAGGCTCAAAGTGTGGAAAGAAAATCTCCTCCACACCATCACAGCACCAGCAGCCTGTACTGTTGATACAAGACAGGATGGATCTATGCGTTCATTTTGTTTTCGTCAAATTCTGACCCGACCATCTGAATGTCAGCAGAAATCGAGACTCATCAGACCAGGCAACGTTTTTACAATCTTCTGTTGTCCAGTTTTGGTGATCCCGAGTGAATTGTATCCTCAGTTTCTGTTGTTATCTGACAGGAGTGCCACCGGTGTGTGTTCTGCTGCCGTAGCTCTTCTGCTTCAAGTGTTGTGTGTTCAGAGATGCTCTTCTGCAGACCGAGTGCTTATTTGAGTTACTGTTGCCTTTCTATCAGCTCAAACCAGTCTGGCCGTTCACCTCTGACCTCTGACATCATCAAGGCATGGTTTTGCGTGAAAATCCCAGTAGATCAGCAGTTTCTGAAATACTCAGACCAGGCCGTCTGGCACCAACAACCACTTAAATCACCTTTCTTCCCCATTCTGATGATCAATTTGAACTTCATTATGTCTACATGCCTAAAATTCATTGATTTGCTGCCATGTGATTGGCTGATTAGATATTTGTGTTAATGAGCAGGTAAACAAGTGTACCTAATAAAGTGGTCGGTGAGTGTAAAAAGTATATAATCTATAATCATTGTGTAATCTTTAATCCGTTGTATAATCCCCTTTAAATGCCATTGAGCATTGGAATGAAGCCCTGTATTATTATTCAATTTGACAACTTATATTTGAGATATCATTCTGTCTACATGCTCTATATTTTGTGTGTTTTCTGTCTGATAGTTACTGATAGCTGTAAAAATCGCTGCATGTCCAAAAGTCGTGATGCTAATGCAGCGTGCCACTGTGACGCTGCATGTGTAAATGAAGGCACCTGCTGTCGGGACTATGAGGAAGTGTGTGTGGAACCAAGTAAGTGGCATTTCTCTTTCTTTTGCACTTTCTTTAACTCTCTCTTTCTCAAGGCCCTGACATACTCACGGCAAAGTTGTTCTTCGCTTAGGGGAAAAAACAAGAAAGAGTAAATCACTCGCATATGTGACTATATTTTCATGTCAGGCGACTAGTAAAGTCTATCATTAGCCATTGGCTAATAAATTGTTAGATTTCAGTCGCCAGTGTTTGATGCTAAGTAGCACAGTCTAGCACAGATATATTTTCACTTGCCTTCACTCATCTTGATCACTCTGACTGAGAGCTTGAGAAATGTTGAAGGTGTCTCAATACATTTTGGTTTGACTGTGTATATAAAACTAAGAATAATACTGTAGAGTATCCGGTTTCAGTTTTGGGGAATATGTATTCAAAAATTAATAATTCATAATTAATCATTATTCATATGGGTTTGAACCGGATAATTATACATGTTAAATCGCCCAACGAGGGGGTTACGTTGCCAATCTGTTATGAACGACTGAATACAATGGACTTATAATCAATTATTCATACAGATCGGCAGGATAGATCAATTTTATATATCAATAATCAAAATCATAACGAATTATAATTATTTATTCGTATACAAATTGTCGAGAATAGATATATTCTCAGGATAACCTTTAACGGCAATCAATCTAGTATGAACAATCTGTTTGTCCATCAAACTGACCGTACGATACTTTAAAGGTGCTCTATGGAACTTTTAGCGGCCTCTAGTGGTGATGTTTCAGATTGCAACAAGAGCGCTCGTGTGCGTGTGCCGGCCACACGGAGACTTTCAACGCAACGGCGAAAGCATCACACAACATGCTGGAAACTCATGTAAACTCCCACTGCAACGTTACAATAATAGGCTACTTTTATCAGCTTGACGTTCCATGCTCGTACCATGATAACGTTATAGTGAGTCGAATAGTGAACTAGACTGAACAATGTCAGTGTAACAGTAAGACAGTAGGAAGTAACATTACTGTACTGAACGTGTCTGGAAATGTTTATTATAAACAATATGATAGTGGGATGAATTACGTTATAGCGTAACGATCTATAACGTAGATCTAGTACATAAAACAAGTATCCTAAAGCTTTTCTTATCCTGGAACAGTCTTTTGTATTCATTCCATGTCTCATGTAGTTTCAACGCATTCTCATCCCAAAGCGTAATATATTGACTCTTTTGCCAAAGCGTCTATATCCAACGCATATGGCACCCTTTAGCGTCAATATAACACGCTTTGGTTTTGGGTAGGTTTAGGTCTGGGGTAGTGTTAGGAAGGGTGGTGATGGCGCAGTGGATAAGACACATGCCTTTGGTGTGAGAGACCCGGGTTCGAATCCACTGTGAGACACCAATGTGTCCCTGAGCAAGACACTTAACCCCTAGTTGCTCCAGAGGCGTGCGACCTCTGACATAAAGCAATTGTAAGTCGCTTTGGATAAAAGCGTCAGCTAAATGAATAAATGTAAATGTAAATGTTAGGGTTAGACCACTAGGAGGCGCCATATATCTGCGTCTCATATGACGCTAAAGGGTGCCATGTGCGTTGGATATAGACGCTTTGGCAAAAGAGTCACTATAATTCTAAAGCTCTGCCGATGTTGATCCGTGTTTTCGTCCTGAGTCGATCAGAATCACGTTTGGCCTGACGAGCTTCAGCAGATAAAACTTTGTTTTGTTTTTTATATTTATGTGGAGTTAGTGTTGGAGTGTGTGTTGTGCTGGAGGCAGGTCGTTTTTGGCTGTTATCAGACAGACTCCATGTCGTCAGCTGCAGTGCCGTCCGTCGCATAGACTGTATATAAGGAGAGAGGCTCGGGAGCGCGCATGCACGTCACATCCGATGGATTTCGCGGTAAATCCGACCCGGAGACTTCACATAGAAATATGAATATTGGCCTTCAGAGGTAATAGCAAAACCCGACAAGTGGATCATTGTAATGTGTGATTACAACCCCTTCACACACAGGCAATAAAAAAAGGATTCATTGTAGAAGAAAAGTTCCATGTAGCACCTTTAATGAACCCCCATGAAAGGCTATCCATCTTATAGAAGAAAGGCTATTTCTCTGGCCATGGAAAACAACTTCTTTATTTTATAAAAATACTATGTAAAGTATTCTGCAATTTTAAAGCGTAGCTGATCGAAGCATTTAAGTGACTTGGATACGAGCAAAACACAACAGAATCAATGAATGTATATAATGAATTCAATAAAGCAGTACACTACGTGTACGGTTACAGAATACTATATACAACAAATAACACGGAGAAAACAAAACACTGAAAGAATCTGAGAGTGAAAGAAACAGGGAGAGAGTGAGAGAGAGAGAGAGTCTGGAAGGGTCAGTGGCAAAATTACAGACTTTGACCTTAAGAGACAACACGAAAAGACACAGTCTTAATGCTCTAACATCTCGGTAACTCAAAGATACTTGCATGGTTCTCATGTGCCTGAGCGTGTGTGAGCGGCAGGTCTTTGTGTTTCGTTGGAGCGTCACGTGGTTGCAGCTGGTCCGAGGAGCGCGCACGTGTGGCGTTGGAGCGAGTCCAGGAAGAGAGAGAGTGTGTGTGGAGCGCGCCGACATTTATCACCTTGGAGAAATCCAGCCTCTTCCTGTCGGCTTGGCCAATCGGAGAGTTGGAAGTCACAGGCGGGAATTTAGTTTTTATTACTCTTTGTCTAAGAGCGCAAGCTCGATTTATGGCAGTGTCAGAATTGGTCCTTCCTGTCCCAAAAAGCTGTTGCACATAGAATCATACACTTTACTGTAATCTTCTGTATCTGGCCAAATCAATTGGACCGAGAGAATTACAACGGTACCAAACAAAGCATGTACACATAATAGGAATATGAAAATACATCTTAATACATAACTATAAGCTCTTGGAAGGAATGTACTGCTACGATAAAATCATAGAGACCTTACTATGACATGGGCAGCGTGCAAACACACAGGAATATATCGTATACAGTTGGCAATGGCTCATGTTCTGAGTTTAAGGTAACAGTTTGTGTATTTCTGTGTGTTGTGCATCTCTGAAAGGTCCAGCCAGGCCATCTGGCATTCCTTCCTCGCAGAAAGGAAGATGCTGGTGTGATAAGATCTTTTGATGCTCGGCGCGGATCGTAAATGGTGTCAGAGAGTTCCTCTAAGTCTCAGACATGTTGGCACCATCTAAGATTTAGATTGTCACAAGTCAGAGTCTAAAAGCTTTTGGATTTAACCAGGAATGTGCATTTAGGTTCTGTTCAGATGAACAAGTCAATGATTTACCCTAGATACCCTACAATACTGATAAGATAATAATACTTACTATTACTAATTCTACTATTAATAACACTATAAAGCATCCATTCTGTGACAGTTGAGTTAGAAAAGTTTAGTTTAGATGTAATTTTCTAAACATGATTTTATTTCTAGTGAGAAATTACTATTGTACTCATTAAATATTCACTTAGTTTTCACCAAAGCTCATTCTATATTGCTGTAGATCATTAAACCGCTATGCCTTCAGAAGTCTGTCTGGAATCAGTTTCGTGAGGTACCTTCGTGTGCAGACGAGCTTGAAACATCAAGGGCCCGGAGTCGAAAGCGGGCAGGTCAGTCCAGCTCAGAGCCAGGAGTGGACCTGGACCTGATAGACCTGTGGTCCGCGGATCCAATTCCCTCCCAAGTCCACACCCTCAAGTCTTCATCCTCCTCGCTGGTCCTGTCTGGAAACCTGCAGCCTGTATCCCTGCCTAACTTCCCAGTTCCGTCTCCGTCGCTGGTCACGGCCAGTGCCCTGGATCTGTCGGCACCACTGGTGTGGTCCAGCTCCTCGGCTCTGCCTCCACCGCTCACTCCGTGTGGCTCACATCCTCTGCGCCTTGGGTTTTCCCTTCCACCAGCTTGGCGTGAGGCCGAGTCCCCGGCTGCACCTCGGGCCTCCAGGCCCACACCACCACCTCGTCCTGTCAGCCCGTCGCCCTCACCTCGACCCACCACTCCTTCATCGCCTCCGTGGTCCGTCTGCCCGGATGCTCTGCTGGGCTCGCTAGCCCAGCTACAGCCACGGACTTCCGGTATTCTGGTTGAGCCCTCACCCTGCTCCCCTTCGGCATCACTGGACTTCTCCCTTTCTCTGACCTCCCCATCGGCCTCCCTCACCACATCGTAACGCTGGTCATCCATCCGCACGCTCCGCGGACTCCTCTGCCACTCACGGTGCTGCCGCCGTCAATCGGCCCCCGGTTCTCGTCCTGCCAGTCACTTCAGGCTCTACCCTGGCTCCTCCCCCCATCTGCGGCACCATGGTGCCCGTGGCCAACGTCTCCAGGGTCCAGTCCGTCCCCAGCTCCACGGCCTCCGCCTAAGCCTTCGCCCTTTTTCTGTTTTTTTGGACTTTTGTTGCCATCACGGCGGGAGGACGCGCTTTCTGAGGGGGGCGTTATGTCACAATTATGTTCTGTCTAGTCTGCACCTGTTCTCGTTTGTCCCTGATTAGTTAATCTTCCTCCATCTGTGTCTAGTTAGTTCCTAATTTCATCCTGTATACTCCCTGTTCTGTTCAGTCATGTCGACACTCAAACTGTTCAGTCACTTGTTGGTTCTCGTTAATGGGGAGGGGAGGGGAATTGTGTGTTGCTGTTTTCAAACTTCCCAAATTAACTTCTTGCAGAACTTCTTTGTTTCTCTCTTTAGAGCAACTTAAGAGTCTTAAGAGAGCAACTTCACAACTCCATAGAGCTTAGCACATCTTGGAACTGGAACCTTGAACCAGAACCAGAACAACTCTTTGTCTTAGAGAGAACCTTTTTAAACTCTCCAAGATTTGCAAATTGGCGGCTTTCAGATCCAGTGTTTTAATTGGCTGATGCTGTCAGAGGTGGCCACTGTATGGCCCCTCTTTGACATAAGGTTAATTTGCATAGCTTCAAGTTCATGTTGAGAAAAATGTCTTGAAGGTTTTTCCTATGCATAATTCACTT